TTGTACAGAAATGAGCAACAATGTAAGAAAATAAAAAATTCAATTAAAAAAAGATTTAAAAAACAGTAGTATATGAGTAATAAATAATTGTATTGTTATTTAAAAAAAAAGATGGTTTGTGGATTTATGCAAATTGGGTCTCCCCTCTGTAGCAGAGATATAACAGATGCCTAATTGAAGACATATTTCCAAAAAGGTCATTTGGGATGAGAATATTTATGGTGTCTTTGGCAAATAGCCCAAATTACTCCATTGTGATTTTCTTTACTCTTGTCCAAGAGTTTTCAGTGGAAAAGGCCCAAATGATTTTGTTCTTTCTCACAGATGTACTTGTGAAGTTTATTGTGCTTTAATGGGGCTGAGATTTAAGATCTCGGAAGCTACCCATTAGGATTGAGATAAGCGTCATAAGAACAGAGCCCTCAAACTATCTAAGGAGGTGCAACTTCATAGTCGATTTAAATGCAATTTCTATTTCAAGTGCTACAAAGCAATGTTTTACTGCAGGTGGCAGTACTTGCTTAGAAGGTGCTGCTATTGCAGTTTCCACTAACTCTTATCTTAAAGGTCTTATTATCTTAAAGGTCTTAAAGGTCTTATTATTTTATACATAATGGCCTAACATGGCATTATTGGTTGATATTTAGGTTTCACTTTATGCCTACACTTAACTTTTTCCATATCTACAAATTTTTCACCTGGCTTTACCCTGAAAAAGAAAGACAAAGTTGAGTCCTTTTAACCTGGATCACACCTGTTCATACTTATAGAGAGAAAATGTGTGAGCCTCATCGTTCTTTTTGGAGCTGTGCATTCAAGTCGAACAGGCAACCCAGTGAGTCAGTCTGTTTCTGACACCCACCCGAATGTCACCAAGCTTGCTGGGTGGTGTTTTATTCATTGGGCATTTATATTGAAAGGATTTTCCAGGCTAGATAAGAATCCTTGCTCACTGTGCACATGAAGAAATCCCTGCTGGTGCCTGTAGCCAGCGTCTGTCCTGTCCCAGTTGTGATCCTGTACCTGCTGTCAGCACGAAGACCTCAGCAGAGGACACAGCTCCTTGGCTACATCAGACTGGGCACATTGTACTGTTGTTCTCCTGTAGACAAAGCTGGTGATCTTGAGGGGACATGGTAAGACTGGCGATCACTAGAAAGAGAAAGGGGATTCTATTTCTGGTTTCACATGGGCCAGTGATTTCTTGTCTGACCTAAGCAGCCCACTAAGCCTTTTGAGTCTGTGTGCCTCTGAAAAATGAGAGGATCTGGTTTGGTAAGCTTTAATTGTTTTGGAGTGGGTCCCTAGTGTTTCCTGATTCTGAGCTAAGTACATCTTCATACCATGACAGCCACTTGTCCTAACATTTATCAAACTTTCATATTCATTTAGAGTTGCCAGGCACTGTTTGAATTCCTTAACAAAGATGAAGTCATTTAGGTCCCCAAGGGCACCATGTGGATGTACCCTTATCACTGCCATGATAGGTGTGAGCTGGGACTCCATCCACTCAGCGTGCCTTCAAGTCCACTCAGTTAAATACAGCTCTGTGTGGACATCTGACACATTGACACATCTCTTTTATGTTGGATTTCATGGAAGAATATTAAATTTCTATGCTGTGCAACCAAAAACATAAACTCATGCCATTCACAGCAACATGGATGAAGCTGGAAGGGATTATGCTCAGCAAAACAAGTCAGAAGGAAAAGGAAAATATCTAATGGTTTCGCTTATAGGTGGACCATAGGGAAAGCAAAGGGTCAAGAAAAAGACAAAACTTGCAGGCAGAACATAGATCTGAGGGATACAGTAGGGGACGAAGAGTGAGGGGGGTCAAAATAGAAGAGGGAAGAGCACAAGGAACAATGGTGATGGGTCACAGGTGCTGTGGTGGTGGGAGAAGTTCAGAGACTACACCTGAGGGGAGAAGTCAAATGCTGTACAAAAATGAACAATGATGTTAGAAAATATAAATAAATAAATAAAAATTTCTTTGCTGTGGAGGAATCACCACTTTATAAAGGACTAGCACTGGAGCACTGACTTCATCAGTGAGTAAGAACAGCAGAGCCTATTTTATGAACTTCATATTGAAAAATCTTTTACAAAGCTTGTATTACATTCTTTACAATATACATTAAAAAAAAAAAAAGGAACATGGAGACACAGGAAGAGTGGAGATACCTGTGGCCTTGGCTGTAATTAGCTCATGAGAGCGCATGTGTCTGATTGCTGGTTTTGCTTGCGTGTAAATACAAGTTGCTGTGCTAAGCAAAAAATAATTGTAATAGATTCATTTAATCATAATGCAGCAAAGTTTAACTTGTTAGAGCTTTAAACTTGCAGATGAGCCTTTCCCTGGGGCTGCCTGTCTGATTGTAGTTGCTAAGCCTGACCTACTTATCAGCTTTTTCAGAAGATGGCTTAAACACCTCCCAGGATATATTCATACACTGGAAAATCCAATAGTAGTAACTTTCCATAACGCATGATTTATTTTTAGGGCATTGGGTGGGGGGCAGGGAGGGGCTGTCATACATCACATAAGGCATCTTGTTCATGCTTGTACTTTCACTTAGACGTGAGTCACAAGGTTAATTCTTAATAACTAGATGAAAAATTCTTAATGGTGGGATGACTAGAGGGTTTCAGATTCAGAGTCATTTTGGTAGTTAGGTTCCAACGAGCAAGTTCATACAAGAGAGCCCACTACCAACTTTTCAGTACTTTTGCTTCTGATGTAATCTAGTCTCTTGTATGAATGCCTTCTCTTTGGTAATTAGTGCATTTTTCCTCTGGTTGACTTAAGGGTAGGAATAAAAGAAAATTATATTGAGGGGCCTCCCTGGTGGCCTAGGCATGAAGTCTCACTGCTATCACCACCATGGCCTGTGTTCGACCCCTGGCCAGGGAGATAACCCACATTTGGCGCAGCAGATCTCTCCTGTCATGCCTGCTACTCCCCTCAGCAATGTATTTCAGTAGATCTGGCAGTTCTGCTCCCCACTCTGTCTCTGGTGAATGCTCTCACCCCCTGCACCCCTGGCCTACACCCCAGTTCTTCTACACAAAAAAAAGCAAGAAAGAAAATGATATTGACCTTTAAAGGAAATCACATCCTTTAACACCAGTTAGTCATGAGTTTGAGTCTGTGGTAGAACTTTTAGTTTCTTATTCTGTAGTTTTCATCTATTGACTCAAGAAAATGAGGTGATAGGAACAAGGCTTTTTTATGTGAGCCTGAGAGATGTGACCTCAAGTCACATAATAGAGTAAATGACATTCTCTCGATTACCAGACTCTCGCAGGCCCCGAGAGCTCTGGCATCCCATCCAGAATGGATTCAGAAAGCTTAAACCAAACCCAGGGTTAAAACTAAAGTGGCCTTTCTAAAAGAATTTGGAAGCCAGTTGAAATCAATGCTCTGTAGTTGATGGAAGTGAGCAATGGTAAAGAATGTGAGACTTCAGTGAAAAACATCTGTCTCCCAATGCCAGAATTCGTATTCCTAAACAGTTCTTCAACTCCAGTCATTTTCCCCTTCCTTCTTAACCTTCTTTGTTTTCCAGACTGTTACTTTGTTGTGTCTTTCTCTCTCTCTTTCTCCTCCCTCTCTCCCTCTCCCCTGTCCTTCTCCATTCTCTCTCTCAGCTACATCTGTGACAAGACTCCCTAATGGACACATTTAGATCCATGAGTTCTATACATAACCAGAAATCTGTACTTCTTAAGAATTCCTCGCTTGCTGTACTGTTGAGAGAACTTTTATATTCAGTTCACCTTCTATAGCCTGTGTGATGATGTTTAATTATATGTTAACATTTTTCTCCCAAACCCAGATATTTTTTTGAAAATCTCTCTGGTCAGACAAGAGAACAGAGGAGGACTTGGAGAGGATTCTAATTAACTTTATTTGTCTCCTTACACCTTCAAGGACAATAAGAGTAATTTCGTCTTTTGGCTCCAAAATCACAAGTCTGACTTTCATTGAAAGGCTCAGTTATCTTGTTTCCTTGAAACCCCATCTCCCAATTCTACCTTCTATTCATTGTGGTCTTCTGATGTTTCATGTAAATACCTTTTGAGCATAACTAAGAATTTCATTTTTTCCTCTTTTCACACCTGTGGTCTTGGTGAATGTATTTTATTGTCTCATATGCTAGTCAGTCTAGGGACAAGCACATCTTTGTGGTTAAGACGTTTATTATAATGATGTTGGCATATTCTGCTAGAAAAAATAAAGCATTTGCAGTTTCCAATATGGATGAAAAGTGTGTGTAAAGTTCGGAGCATCCTGGTAAGATATCATTGACTACATGGAGAAGTCACAGCAGAAGGATTTCCCTTCTTGGATTCATTGACCACTTCTTACCACAAAGTAGAAGTCTGCAGCCAGACCAGTCATTCTTCTCCAGCCTCCTCAGTACATATATATTCTGTATTTCCATGTCCTTCTTGTTCATCCTTGGTCCATGGACGTCTCTCTTCTCTACCTTCTATTTCTCCCCAGAATTCACCTTTTTCCTGTGCTGGTTTATCCAGTAAATACAACAGCTATCGTATCCTAGCTGTATAATTTGCAAGTCAAAGGCAGGGGGCTGTTTTTCCTGGCAAGAGCAGATGGAGACATATGATGAACTTAATACACAAGAACTTGAATATTGTCACCAGTGAAGATTATCACCACTTGAATATTGACCCCAGTGAAGATGGGAAGACCACGCTGTGTTACTCTAAGGAAAGCAAAGAAATGCAGCCTCACAGGGGACTGAAATAATCTACTTGGTAATAGTGACCACAACAGGTTTCTTCTTTTCATCTTGTAAAGTAGTTTTAAACTATCCCTCAAGGGCTGTTTTGCATGTAGGAGAAAAGAAGGTAAGAATAAGCAAGTGGGCAAATAGTTTCACTGCCCCTGCCTAACAACCACATGTGTGTCTGGAATGACCTTGTCTGAATGCCATGTCTGATGAATCTTTTTCTTCTTTTGCTTTCAGCTCGGGGACCTGCTTCACAAATTACAGTTCGTCATGACATATGTGGCTCCTTGGCAGATGGCTTGGGGATCTTCATTTCACGTGTTTGCTCAGCTCTTTGCAATCCCTCATATCCTTTCTGCTTCTATTTTCACCCAAGAGCTGAGATTCACATTTTACAGATGCGAGCTTCTCATTGAACTCTGGCAATAAAAATATTTTAAAGTCTTTAAGATTACATTTTAATGGGGACATGGGGAGGCACTTTGGATTCCCTTTAGGCCACTTAGCCTTAAAAGATGTTTCTTAATTTTGAATTCTTCCTGTTTCTTAATGCATATTCAGGAGTTGCTTTAATTTTTCTGATTCTTTCATGTCTATGCCCAGATCTGCGTTTAGCCGTCCTGTCTTTTGAATGGAAACTTACTGTTTAAATAATTTGGTTGACTTGTGCAAAAAAGAGCAAGTAATTTGTTGTTATTAAACATGTGGATAGAGTTTGTATTTTTAATATACTGTTATACCTTATATAACATTATGATATTGTGTGGTTATCATATACTAGAAAAAGATTCAAAAGCCCAGAATCAGATACAACAGAAATAGTCAAATGTTTTTGAAAACTAATAAGATAATTTATAGTTTTGTTTTGTAATTGCTAATCTCCAATTGCTAGTCTTATCACCTGTAGTTTCATTTGACTTCCTGATATTGTTTTAAGTGTTTCAATAATGATAATAATTTATAATTTACTTCAAAACAGTTGAGCTGCTCCTTGTAAAGATCACCTTGACACAGAAGGCTGAACAGTGTGTGTGGAGAGATTAATTCTTTAAAATAATAACACCTTGAAAAGCAAGATTAAGCCAAAGTATTCTTGACTGAAGTCTGAAATTTGCCTTTAAAAAGGCTTTCCTTTAAGAAATTTATATTCTCCCACTGAATTTTCATTTTATAAACTAATCTCTCCCAAGAAGTGGTTCGGGGACCTTTTGCATTAGAATGCGCAGAAGAGCTTGTTAAATAGGTGGATTCTTGAGCCCAGCACATACTTTTATGACCACATTTCAGTGGGTTGATCCTGCCCCCTAAACTTCTCAAGCCTCCCCAGAAATTCTTATCCACTGGTATGTGGGAGCTGCTGGCTTTCCAATAGAGGTACTATTAGCCATTTTTAGTGACCACTCAGTGTTTTCATATGACAATCACATAGGTTCCTAAGACAATTCATAAGGAATCTCTGGGCTCTAAATTTTGTGCACTGTACTTGGGCTGATCATTAAGTGATAACAGATTGTATGTTTTTTAAATGCTCTCCTCCATACTCATTTAAAACACACACATTTTTTAAAATTTTATATATTTTTTACATCATTTTTCATTTTTGTACAATGTATGCATTTTCATCTTGGTTATAGTCCCCGTAAAATTCCCACCACCCTTGTTTTGATCCTACTCCCTTCTCCCCACATAGTGTCTCTGGTTTATAGTTGCCTGCACTCAGTGAAATAAGCCAGAAAGAAAAAGAAAAATACCGGATGGTCTCACTCATAGCAGGAACTTAGAAAACCCAAATAAGGGATCAGGAAAAAGACTAATTATAAAAAAGTGAAAATCAAAATCAACACACACACATTTTTAAGCATACCAAGAGCTGGCCTCACAATGCTCATTGTTCTGGGTTCCTATTCTTAGACCTGCATTGGTATTTCCAAAGTGTTCAAGGTTATTTGGCAGAACAAGCTAAGGAAAAAAATTGTGAAAGAGTGAGCTTGGCCCCACCTTTTTCTTTTAGCTGCAATCATTTTCTATAATGCCAGTAATTTTAGTCTTTCTAAACTGAGTCCTCTGAAAACAGTAAGGTGAAAGATTGAGGTCATTTTTATTTCTGATGTGTTTTCTACAGTATCCTGTCTAGAATTTAAAGCCTGTTTATTAAAAGAAAATTATTAAATTGATGCAAACTCGTGGTTGAGGAGTAGCACTAAGATTTTGAAATTTGAAATTGTGGTGCTCAATTGTACCCTTACCTTATTCATACATAGACTCATAGCATTTCTTTGGGCTATTTATGCCTTGTTAAGTGAGTTCAGTAATACTTATTACTCCATAGTTCCATAGCTGAATTAACCCCATTCTGGGAGCCATACATTTTAATTACCTGACCCACACGTGTGTTGAGAGTTCATGCTCAAGGGTAGCATAAGTGGCATTTAATATCTCCTACAAGAATGAAAGTAGCATTAGCATCTATCTGATATTGGCGCAGAGTGAGTGTTAATTCTAAGTACTTTCATGAAAGGTGGACTCATTCTCTTAAGAAATTGGACACATTTAAGATGTAGATTTTATTGGGCATTTGGTAGTTAGTTCTGTTTTAGAACACTCAAAGGATCCCCTTGGTTTGTTCTTAAAACTTTTCCTGTTAGTGACATTCACTTCCTCCTTCTGCTAAGGTGCAGAGCCTTCAAAATGACCACTTAGGATCAGGGAGTTGTGTTAGAATTCATGGGGCCTTCAGGTCCCCTGTCTTTGTCCAAGGACATCCTCCCAGCCTCAATTAGTTGTAAGGTAGATATTTGCTATTTGGAGTCCAGCATCCTCCCATTCAGAATAAAATGAGATAGAAAAACAGTTTAGGAAACTGAATGTAGATGCCATCAAGACCAAGTTATCAGATTCCTAAACACCAGCCCTGGATCTTGACTAATTTTGAAATGTTAATTATTTTATCACTCTATTAAGAAGCTGTGGGTTCCATCCTGGCACTGAGAAGGGACTAATTTGCTCCATTTTGGAAGTGAATTAGCTTTCAGGCCAGCGGGGCACTGTTTAGTAAATTGCTTTTTCCAGTACTGGCATGTTTTCTCCCTCGGTAGCCTCTGTTAGTTTCTAAGCGTGTAACCTCCAGGGAAAGATGAGAATGTTCACCCTTTTAATATGTGTAGAGACCATGCAAGACCATTGTCTTCTAATAATTAGACAGACTTAGCCAGATTATCTGTTAAATGTATATATTAGGAAGGCTGCTTGCTATTTGAGCTCCTTTTGTGCTTCTAATGATGTTTTGTAACTTAAATTACTGACGTTGATGTTATATTTTAAATGGCCTCAAATAAAACTGAAACTTTTGAAAGAGTCACCACTTACCTCTAAACCTCCGACCTCTTAGCTCTCAATTTCTGGGTAATTGCTGTGGCATTTATTAAATTTATATCTGGCATCCAATAAAGTATAAACAACATAATCTTTAGGGAAATGTTTAGAATACAAAAGAAGGGCAATGGCGGGCCCTGTAGCATCTTGTTCAGCCCTGGCCTCTCTTGGCTCTGTCTTTATTTTTCCTCAAACCCCAGAGTCCTTTTGTCACCTGAGAATGTGGACAAGCCCCTCCTCCTGACACCTCCCCTCCTGACACCTCCCCTGGTGACCCCATTCTACCTTCTCACAATATTTTCAGTTCCTTTATATGCTGACATCTTCCATGAAGTTCTCTTTTCTTCCAGCGACAAGAGGCATTGTTAATTGGGTGTGTTTTGTGACAGAAATATTTAGATATTTTCAGGTTTCAGACCAAGAGGAAATTGGTGGTGATAGACACCACAGTAGCTCATTGTTCTGTAGTTCTAGTTTGAACCTGGGTCAAAATAAACGGAATTTGATTTAAACTGTAACACAATAAAGATGTTTTCGATATTCAAACAATTCAACACCAGAAAGGATTATTAAAAAAGGATGTATCATTTCCTTAAAGAACATGTTTGGAATGAAATAAGTTAAAAATCAGAAAGGACAGTTACTCTTGAAACGAAACTCTGAAATCCATAGAAATGCTTGAGAAGTGTCTGTGACTGGCTCAAAACTCACTCCCTCTCCATATGTGCATGTAAGTGGGGCTTGGGTGGTTCCTGTCTCTAACCCGCCCCTACTACATAACTAAAGCAAATAGGACAATATGTGCAAGCACTTAGAAGCCTGATTTGCTTTCCTGTGTCCTAATGGTAATGAGACAAGTCCTCCTAGAGGTGCCAATCATTTCTTTTTAACTTTCTTTTAGAACCTTTTGAACTGGCTAGAGAGAAAAGACCTCCATGTGTGCTGTAGTGAGGAAGAAACACATGTGGTGCCATTGCAAATGGGAAGATCAGGCTTTAGGAGACCAGACTAGACCTGCAGTAGAACACTCCAAGTCTTTAACCTGTGGAGTAAGGAATGGTATGTGGACGTAGGGCCTGGTCAGTCATGCCCCCCTCTGCCAGCCCCAGGGACCTCTGCCTTCCAGCCCTAAATCCCACAACCACCCTTGCACTATAATGACACAGTGTGATTGTTAGCCAGTTCTCCCATGATGGAGTGAGGCTGGGGAGGGACTAGCTCTCTGGCACCATCCCTAGATTTCCAGAGATCAACTGAGCTTGAGCTAAAAGTTACAACTATACTTATTTTAAAATCGAGCATTTACATTTTTGATCAACAAAGTACATAAAAATGAGGCCAGAAAGTGAGAAACTGACACAGTGCTAAAGAGGCAACTGGGTTGACCAGATGCCATGATTGAGCGTGCCTGTCTTTAGCTTATAAACCAGATCTTGAACTGAACCATTGGTGTTCGGTGTATGAGAGCATGAGAGCAGACATATGTTTTTGAATAGTGGGAAAAGATTCTTGGAGAAACAAAGACGTAACCTTCCCAAACAATGCTATGATTTCTTTCAAAGAGTGTAGCTTAATTTTAACTATTTATAAAGCTACTTGGTACTTCAGCAGATGTACCACGGTGCATTTTGTTCAGCTAATGATAGCTGAGCAAAAAGATTCAGTTCTTTTCAACTCTTAGATACTAAATCTTTGCCGAGATGCACACTGAGACTGCTGGGATGTTTATGAGAATCATTTGGTGTTCTTGGTGGTGGAATGGAACCTAGCAGGATACTACTGCAAGTTTTATATTTCCAAATAAGTGCATAGAACAAGTGTATGCCCAGCTTTCTTTCCTTGGTGAGAAAATGGCTTTAATGTTGTTAAAAAACAAGTCATTTGAATACATTTAGAGATCCAATTGCCTTTATTAAATGATTCGTGAATGGGGCGGCATCCTGTCTAGCAAGCAGTAAGGTGCTGCCAGAGTGGTGCAAAATGGAAGGTTTCTGGCATCCGAACTAGGATAGGATGAGATTATAAACAAAAGAAAAGAGATTATTTCAGACAAAGCCATCTTCTCTCAGGGAAGAGAGGGGTCAAGTGTGCCCATGAACTCACGCGTGCAGAGCAGGAGACTGCAGATTGGTTCAGAATTCACTTTTGGAGAGGCGGAAACTGCCCTTAGGCTAGGTATTCAATCATGATGGGGCTTGGCATACATGAGTCCATTTTGGGCTGGTTTCTTTTCAGAAAAATGTAAACTAGCCAAAATCTGAAACACTGTTTAGAAATAGAACGATAAAAAATGTGTTTACCTTAACTCAGAAGTCAGATTCTGCCATGCTTTTCTTCCAGACGATCGCCACATCTGTCTTTTCAACCCCATTGAGTCCGTTTCTCGGCAGCGTCATTTTCATCACCTCTTACGTCAGGCCAGTGAAATTCTGGGAGAAAAACTACAAGTAAGATCCGAAAACCAATGCTAGTTTCTTTCACTAAGATTTGTGCTTCAGAAAGCTCCTTGGCCTCCTGTCTGTAAAGTTCCAGGCTTTCTGCTTTGCCCAGCGCCAGGCCATGGGGACTCAGCTCAAGGACAAACCCTGGGGGCTTCTGCGCTCTGGTCACTACAGAGCCTTATCTCAAATTTGCAATCAGATTGCACCATTAGTGAAGGGAAATGAGTAATTACTGCTCAATTTTACCATTTGTCCAAGTAAACCTGCTTGAGGCGCCATCGTCCTGTCATTTGGAGTTCTGCTCCTAAATGGCACGTGTGTTCCTCTCTGTCATGCCGCTTCGGTGAGCTTTGTACATTCGTGAGTTGTGTCCAAAGGTACACGCATCACAGCTCAACACGAAAAAGCAGACAATCCCTCTGAGCGCTGTTAAGCTCCTCAGAGATGATTTATGTACTCTTTCTTACTGTTTGGATTGGCCAATCATAAATTTCCTCAAGCAATGATGGATTGGGGGCAGTTATTTTTGAAGGAAGGTGTGAAGAGAGGAGTAATGGGTTGATAAGTAATTTTCAAGAACACTCAGCTACTGATTGTGGCGGGGACAGATTCTAAGAACAGCGAGAAGAGGAGAGCTGGGTGCACCAGCCCGCATCCAGCCTGGGGCAGAGGAGTCACTCCGTGTGCGAAGGGCAGGACTTCATTCCAGGTCTCCTTTGCCCCAATTTATTAGCCATTCCCATGCTCTTCCATAAAAACCCTAATCCATGTTCCATAATAGGTCCATCTCTGGCACCACCCTGGCACTTTACAACACACCCTACATTGTCTCACATAGGCCAACGTGGAGGTAAGAGATTTGTGGTTTCTGCTTCTCTCATTAGTTGGTTTATGTGAACATAAAATGCCCAATCGTCTGGGCCAGGCAAGCAGGTTATGGTGATTAGAAGAAGGCCTGGGCTACCAGCCTCCCGGGGCTCACAGCTCTCCCCTCCCACTTAACTCCTGTGACTCAGGCCTCCCTCTTCTATTCTAACAATGGGGGCAAAATAAAAGAACCTACTTCACACACTTGTTGTGAAGAGATAATGAGTTAATACGCAGGAAGCCTCTAGAACAAAGTGTCGAGTAAGCCTGCACTAGTGTGAGTCTCTGCTCTGCACAGAGGTCCCCAACCCACTATTCATCATGACTGAGTGAGTGGAATTTAGCATGCTCACCTCTAGGGGTTCTCCTGGGGAAAGGTAACCAAAGCAGAGTAGCCCAGGTCCAGCCAATACTGGGACAGCACCGAAGGGGGAGAGGTACCTTGTGTTCCTGGCGGAGCTGCATATTCTAAGAGAGGTGAGCTTTTTGCAATACCAGTAAAGTCATCTTCAAGCTTGTACATAAACAAGAGTCCTTTTGCATGTGTCGAAATATCTTACCTATTACAAAGCCAGAGAGTAAAAGAAAATTATTAGCACTGTTTTCTTGAAGTTTTTTAAGAGAAAGCAGTTTGGAGAACCTTTTCTAGAGCTCTGAAGATCACACTTCTGGAAAGTGCAAGTGCTTGTAAATAGGGGATGGTTTTGGGAAGTGCAAGATATTTAAAAGTTGATCTTCAATACAAAAGATTCTTTTTTTTTGTCTCCTACTCTCAGGTAAGTTTGGAACCAGTCTGGCTGGGGAGGATTTGATAGCAGTGAAATCCATCCTAGGTGAACTGGAAAGGATTTTAAGCATCCCCAATAGAAAGGGGACAGGAGAAATCTTGGCAGTGGAGACTTCATTGTGGGGAGGCCTGCTAACACCTGTGTGGAGTTATGTGTTTGGTTGTTGAGTCTCTGCCATCCTCTCTGGGTCTGACTTGCTGGAGTATGAGCTGCTAGAGCTGGATTTATGTGTCCTTCAGTCTCACGAAGCCTTGATTCAGTTGTGTGCCATCCTTTCCCCTCATTTGGCACCCTGTTCCATGTGGGAGGGTCCACCTTTGCTCAACTTGTCTTGTGTGGGAAGGAGGCTCTATAAGGATATCCAGACTTTATGAGACCTCTCTGAAGGAGCCAAGTTAAAGAAAATGTTCAGTCCAGATCAGGAAAAAGTTCCCAATGCGAAACCCCATCAGTAAAGTTCTGTTGTCGCCTCGAGTTAAGGTATCAGAATATAGAGTCCCGTGTGGTCCATCTGCTTAAAAGATCAGTGATGGAACTCAGGACAGCAGGAGTGGTGAGTTCCAGGAAAGGAAGTGGCGGGAAATCTCATCTGGATCTCTACAAATGCTCTGGAAAGCTCATTTTTTCTATATTAAACTGTGGGTTTTTATTTCAAACACTACTGACTTCTGTTGCTTTACTTCAGAGTGTGTGTCTCTGTTGCTGCTTCCTTCTCTTCAGCCGGCTACAAAGGATCAGTCTGTAAGTGTGACTGGTTCTGTATCATTGACTAACTGCCCTGTCTCTTGAAAAGTCCTGCTGAAAGAAACTGTGGCGTTTTAGTGAGTACCTTTGCCACCCTCAACCTGAGGGTGTGGTGAGGGGCACTCCCAGTCACCCTTCCTGGGCCTCTTCTCGCCCCTGCCGCCTCACTTTCCAGTCCTCTGGTTGCCTTTCAAAGCTTCCAAAGCCAGCTTTGGTTTTTGCAAGTCCCAGGTGAGTCCTTTTCGGTAGTGAAAGCGCTTAATACTCTGAGGAAAAGATAAGTAAATCAGCAGCCACCTGATAACTACCGCTAGCCTGTTTTCCCCAACCCAGGCCGTCTTGAAATCTGCAGACTCCCTCTTCCTCAAAGCTGCTCCTCATTGCCTTTCTGACTAATCTGCCTTCCAGTCCACTCCCCACACATAGCACCGGGTTATGTCCTGCCTCTAAAGTCTGGGTGGCTCCCTGTTGCCTGAGGTACAAGAACAAATAGCACAGAGACCAGTGCTGGCCAATAAGACATTCCCCACTCATCACAACACTGTGTATCTGCCTTGTGCAGCATGGAAGCCCGATCAGCCACATGTGGCTGATCAGCACACAAAATGAGGCTAGGGTGACTGAAGAACTGGATTTTCTATCTAATTTTAACTGATTTAAATTTAAATAGCCATAAGTATCCAAAAGGCTACTGAATTGGACAACACAGATGGGAGTCTTCCTCAGTCTTAATCTTATCGCTAGCCTATCTCCCACTTTCCACACATCACATATTGTGGATTTATCATTCCAAGCATTTCCTTGAGCTGTGCCCTTCATACTGTATGTCCTTCCCTCCCACAACCTCACCATTCTCATCCACACCCCCCAGATTCAACAGGGGAGGAGAATTATATTCTGCCTCGTAATGGATTCGTGGTAAGTTTCCAAAAGGACTTGTCGAATGAGAGGTATTACAGCAGTCATCTTTGGAAAATAAATTTGCTCTGTGACCAGCAGTGACTTCTATGTGGGATTGGTGTAGACTGTATTTACCTCAAATTCTGGACTTGTTTATTTTTCATTTTATGTCCGTATGGGGACATTCATATAGTAGTATAACTGCAACCCCGGGGGATACTCAGGGACCCTGAACTATTGTAAAGGTGTTTGTATTCTAAAAGGATTCAGCCATTTGGGTGCACAAAGGCAGAGAAAGCATACTCTTAGTGTGAAAGGTCTTTAATTGGTCATACAGAGAAAAAAGGGAAGAAAGGATTTCAAATAACATATTCCCAATAAAACTCTAAAAATTACCCACGCCCTCATGGGCAAATGCCCAGTCAAGCATATTCAGCCCAAAGTGGGGAGACTGAGGCCCCCAAACTTGCCACAATCTAAGATATCTTCGAGGGGAACCACAAGAAAAAGATTAGGCAGTAACCCAAAAGCTGGGACAGAAGAGACCCTATATCCAGCATGAGGTCAAGATAATGACGTCATTGTCTCTGCCAAAATGCTACAATCCTAGGAGTAGCCGCTTCATGTGTCTCAACTCCAGGTGTCTCTTCTCCAAGTATCTCTTTTTTCTTTTCTTCCACCTCCACTTATATATTGACCTCACTCTGCCCCAACCCCCCAGTTCAGGCCTGGCATGCTGGGAATTGTAGTCCGAGATGACTGTGTGCAAGTGGGGACGAGGACAGATGGCATCCATTCACTGCTGCAGTGCTCTTCCCTGCTTCACAGAGGTGCTTTCTGTAACAGGAAGTGTTCTGTAACTATTTCTTAAGTGAATTACATCTAATAACATTATGGGAAGGAGGAAGAAAATCTCAATTTTGGGTTTCATTTCCTGTTGTTAGAAAATTCACTCTTAAGCTTCATTAGTGCTCTTGACTAATGATATCTTTAAAAATCTGTCTTGATGAGCTCTGCCTGGCGTCCCATTTAAATGGGCTCCAATAGCAAATGCACTGTAGTGACAGTGCCTCGTGTTTATCAGTGCCCTTATGTCAGAGTATTTTTAAAAGACTTTAGAAACACATTCCAATTTCTGATTTATCATCCTCTTCATATGTAAACAGCCATTAAATAACCCAATTTTGTCATTAAAATGAAGCCAGTGTTTAGGCATGAAAGTATTTGACTCTTGTCCCTGGTGACCTCAGCAAATATCTTGGTCCTAAAGGAGTTGACTGTCTTCAGCCCTAAAATAATGAAATTTTGTTTTCAGATGTCAGAAATCTTATATAAAATGATATAAAAGGATTTTGTCACATGTTCTCTACTCCCTGAGTTGTTTTCAACAAGCTTCTAAGATCTTTGTGCAAGCACAAAAGATCTTTGTGCAAGTTTCTTAAAAGGCAATTTTTAAGTATAAAGCAGGAAGCTTTTATATCTTATTTAATTGGGAAATGCAGCCTCATAGTTAAAGTTTGCAATTATGCAGGGAAGGGATTTCTGTATTTCAGTTTGCAACTAAGCTACCCCATAATTTGCTGGGGGTTTTCAAAGTGTCTGGACATAGTTATGCTGAGATAAAGTCATGAAGCTGTCTTCGGGCTGTTTTATCAGCTGTCTTAGGGCTCTTAGAACTCTTTTAACCAGACCTCAATGGCCATCGCC